TCCGCACTCCAAGGTTATGTGGGGTTGGTGTGATAAAACAAAAGGAGATAAAAAAAAGAAAAATAAATATATAAAATAGTAAATTTAATAAACTGGCGACCTACTGCCAGCCCGACCCACTAAAACCCGTAACCCTTCTTCTGGAGCCCTTTACCCTCCCTCGGAACTGTCGTAAGACTTTAGCCTTCGAGGGTGGCGCTCCAACTCTGTCGCTAATGTGACTTTCTGCTTTTCTCTGCGGTTATCCTGCGTTAATAGTTAAAAATTTAAAACTATTTCAATATAAAGCGGAATTAACAGCACAACAATAATTAAAAATAACAAATGTGTAATTAAGTGTAAAAAGTCAAAAGATAAAATTATAAACGGATATATAAAAAAAAGAAAAAATAAACGCGTATAAAAAATTGAAAACATAAAACTGTACAAAGATGAATAATAAAAAAAAAACACAAACAATTAAAAAATGTATAAGGACAAATAAATCACAAAATAAATTAATAAAAAACAAACGAATAAATTAAAAGCTGTTTAAATTACGCTTTTTGGCGGCCGTCGAGATCCTTCCTCGACATAACCGAGATTATGAAGTTCTCGACTTGCCGCCAATTCTCCTCTGACTGGGTCATCAGCGATACCATGTTCTCCGGTGTAACTTGACTGTTTACACCTTCGAACATGGCCCGCCTCTCCAAGTCCCATTTCTTGCATGAGAAGAGGGTGTGCTCCGCGTTGTCCTCAGGGAACTGGCAATATGCACACACCTCGTTCTCGCGTAATTTAAAGCGACACAGGTACGAGTTAAAACACCCGTGACCTGTGAACGCCTGAGTCAAGTAATAGGAAACCTGACCGTGTTTCCTATTTATCCAGGTGGCGAGTGCCGGGATAAGGCGATAAGTCCATCGACCTTTTTCCTCACCATCCCATCTTTCTTGCCATCTTTCTATGAGCCTGTGCCTCGCTTCTTTGCGGATTAGGCCCTTGCTTGGTCTTAATTCCTCATTCAAGGAACTGCTTTCTTTAGAAAAGAGAAACATTTCTTCCCTTTCCCTCGCCAAAAGATCTGCTGGCGGGACACTTGCAAGGACCTGCACAGCACTCGTAGATACCGTCTTATATGCAGAGATGATACGCGTTGTTATCGATCTCTGCGCAGACAGTATCTTTTCACAGATGGTCACACATCTTTTACTCCTCAGGGATGGGGCCCACGCTGGTGCTGCATAGAACATTTTAGCGTGGGCGACACTCGCCACCAGTCTTCTTTTTTGTTCACGGGGTCCGCCAACATTTGGCATTAGCCGTGAAAGATTAGCCGCACACTCGATCGCCTTATTTGACGCCGTAGCCATGTGGTGGTGGAAGTTTAACCTTCCATCTAACTCCACACCAAGATATTTAATTTGCTTACTCCACTTGACCTCAAATCCGTCTATCACGATTCGTGGGAGCTCATAACCACGTCTGTCTGTGACCAGCAGTGCCTCGGTCTTTTCCAGGGCCATTTCAAGACCTCTGGTATCCAGCCAGCTTTTAGCTAGTCGCAGACATTCGTTCACCAATGTCCCAAGAGCCTCCTCACTTTCGGCAGTGCACACGAATAATGCGTCGTCCGGAAAGCCGATGATCACCGCACCTTCGGGCAGATCCATTCGCAGAAAATCATCGTAAGATACATTCCATACAAATGGACCCACCCTTGAGCCTTGAGGAGCCCCACGCTGCATCTCTTCCTTGAGAGTGCAGGTGTCTCCCTCATATATAACCCACCTGTCGCTAAGATAATTATCCATTATCCGCAACAAGTAGGGCGGCATGTTTTTCTTTTCCATCGACTCGATGAGATCTTTCCATCTTGCGCAATTAAACGCGTTACGTATGTCAATTGCTACCAACGCGCAGAAGCTCTTCTTTTTCCCAGGTCCCAATTTGTTTTTTCCTGCTTTGGCTATGTCCACAACTGCCTGGATGGCATCAACTGTGGACTTGCCTTTACGGAAACCAAATTGGTGATCGGACAGACGATTCTCTTCGGTCAAGTGGCCTTGCATTCTCTGCAGAACCATATCCTCTAGAAGTTTACCCATCGTATCTAGCAGGCATATAGGCCTGTACGATGAAACCTTATCTAGAGGTTTTTCACCTTTCCTTAGGAGGACTAACCTCTGTCGCTTCCAGTCGCGGAAGAACTCTCCTCTCTCAAGGCAAAGATTGAAGCATCGAAGCAGAATCTGGGGTAAAGTGTCGATTACCAACTTTAGGATCTCGTTACTTATCTTATCGATTCCAGGCGCCTTGCCTGTTTTCAATCTTTTGCCTGCTTTTTGCAGTTCACTAAGTGTGAAGAGTTCTTCCTCTTCGACTTTGCAAAAACTCCAGTCCCTTCTAAGGTATGGCTCCGCAGGAGGAAACAAAGAACTTATTATCTTTCTGACCCAATCGGGATTGTCCAGGCCGGGGGTCTTTTGCCTCGTCACTAATTTCTTAGTTACGATTTTAAAAGCCAGACCCCATGGGTCCTTATCGACTTCCTCGATTAGGTCCTTCCAGCTACGGCGTCGCGACTTGCGGATCTCTTTCTTGAGGTCCTTTTTCGCCTCCTTGAAAGCCTCTTTCAGCAAGGGATCTCCCTTAGATCGGGTATATGTCCTTCTTGCTTTGAGGCATTCCTTTCTCAAGGAGGCTAGCTCCTCTGACCACCAGTGCAAGGATTTTCTTACTGGAGTGGCGCCTTTGCGTGGCATTGACGCATTGCAAGCGGTGACTATCATGTTCCTCACCGCTCGCACCTCCCCATCCAGACTGCTCGGCCTCTTCACCCAGCCCAAGTCCTCAATTAAAAGGGCTTCTCTTAGGGACCGGCCGAACTTTTCCTTGTCGAGTCTCTTCATATTCCACGAGGAGGTTTTGCGACTAGGAGCATCCTGTCTTTTTCCTCCTCGTGTGTCTCCCATAGAGACTGAGAACTCAATGTACTGGTGGTCACTTGCGGTATATTCCTCTGAGACCCGCCAGTCGGTTATGCGGCTAAATAGTTTAGACGATGCGATTGTTAGATCTATAATTGATCCGATCGCACCTCGTCTAAAAGTCCATGTATTGCCTCGGTTTACTGCCAATAAGTCGTTTCTGGAGATCATTTCTCCAATACGAATTCCTCTCTTGTCGAGTCTCGTCTCACCCCACTCTGGCGACTTTGCGTTAAAATCACCAGTGATGATGACATCCAGCCTGGATTCTGTGAGGCTCGATTCTAGGTCTTCGATATTGGCTTCGAAGTTTGTCAGTGGGTCGTTGGGTGAGAAGTAGCAGCTATACATACGTATATTAGCCACCTCTATCCACACGAACCCACTGCTCGTCTCCAGAAACTTGTCAACCCGCAATTCTGGGTTGCACAGCTTTATGGCGGCTCTCTTCGCCTTATCCTGATACCAAGGGGCGAGATCGCTTCCTTGATACTGCTCACTGCAGAACAGGATATCGACCTCATTTTCCCTTGCTGTTTGCATTAGGAGCAACTGTGCACGGAGAGACCGAGATTACTAATTTTTGTATAAAATCACACTAGAATTTACTATATTCACATTGCAACCACCGGAAATAAGGGGACTTTTTGTATTTTTTACTATTTTCTACACTAAGTCACTAATCCCGACAAATGTTCACCAAATTAGCAAAGTTTCTTACTATTTCGTCCAATAGTTCCAAACAACTGTAGTAAAACTCAGAAACATTGTGTACGTAAAATTACTATAGTCGTTGTAAATGCAGAAAGAAAGAGTGAAAAGAAAAAATACGGATTTTTGTCGCCGGTTTCCCGTCAATTCTTGACTAGTGGAGGTAAACTGGAAGGATTTTTACATACACAGACACACACACTCACACACTTATATATTTGTTGTTGGATAAATATTTGAAGACACACACATGTTTATTTCACTTATATGTATAGACGCGGTTAATTAATACACTAATACACAACTGCACGCACGACAACGAATTTCACTGAAAGTATACATCTTTGTTTCCTTATATATTGAATGATGAAAATTTACAGCACTTACGAGAAAGCAGTTTACTTTTAACAACTTATTATAAGACATACTTCTTGGGACAGGAATAAATGCAAAATTTATTAATTTATAATGGTCAATTTCTGAGATACCGAACGACCTACGTTTCACTTTATGTTTAATTATTGTAGATAATATCCAAATTTATTTTACATACGCGAAACATAGTCACTGTCAATGATCGGAAGGCATCGGCTCATTTACGGAGATTGACGAGGTTAGCAACCAATAGAAATACAGGCGCCATATGACTGCACTCGCTAGCCACACTTGCTCACCAAAAATTACTACAGTGGATCGTAGGTTTTAGTGGAAAATGTTTTCATTTGTCAGATTTTGTCTAATTAAATTAGAGAAAACTATAATCAATTTTCGCTACATTTACAACTCTTACACAAAATATTAAAACTTGCTATTTCAATGTAGCAAATTTATCTATTTCTTTTGTAAATTTATCTAATTCTGTAGTACATTATGCTAAAAGTCCCCTTATTTCCGGTCATTGCAACCGTTTTTAGTAATTTTTACGAATGTGGGTCTCTCCGTGTGCATCCTTACTTGTATGCAAGTTGACCTGCAAAAATTTTAAGGATTTGCCCTTTTAATCTTTTGCAGTTCTTCTCTGTAAACCGGGCAGGCTCTCTTTCCGGAATCGTGATCCGTCTCTGGCTTTCCCAGGTCCAAGCATGTAAGGCACTTCGGCTTAACTTTACAGCTCTTCGCGAGGTGTCCCTCTCCGCCGCATCTCCGACAGTTTTTGCTTCTGTCGGGGCCTTTGCAGGTTCGGGTTGAGTGTCCGTATGCTAGGCACTTTTGGCACCTAGCTACTTCAACATGCTCGCGAATTGGAGCATTTATCCAGCCGATTTTTATTTTACCAAGCTTTAGCAGAGTGTTACTTTCTGCCTCTGTCAGACGTACCAGAGCAACCTTAGTTCCTCTGTATCGCGGCAAAAGTCGACACTCCATCTTCAGGTCGGGTTTACCCAGCTTTTCTCTTAGTGCTGCAGTTACCTCATCCTCTGAGGTGGCTTCGTCCAAATCCTTAATCTCTAGAGACCTTTTATTCACTAGAGGTGTGACCTCAGCTTTACCATGCAGGGCCGAAGACAGTGCATCTGCAAATTTTAAGGTCTCTCCGCCCTTTTTCACTATCACGAGAACCTCCTGTTTAAAGGTTCTCCTGATTTTCCGGATCACGGTACCCGTATCTTCTGGGTTTACCTTTGCTTTTAGCAGCGGCAAGATACCCTCATAAAGCTTTGGGTCGCTTGCCGTAATTTTAACAGCTTCCGTGCTCCTCAGCTTCAAAGGGGGCTTCGGAAGCTCTTTTTTCTCACCTGAGGGTTTCTCTTTTGGAGTCCGTTTCTTTTTGCTTTTAACAACTTTGAAGCCGTCCCCATTGTCCGCTCCGTCCTTTAAAACGGTCTCAGCATACGAACTGCCAGGACTATTTAAGGGCGCCTCTTTCGTTCCATCTAGCGACTCAGAACCAAGCTGTGGAGCATCCTTTCGCTTAATTCTTTTCCCGCTTTGAGTCGCCCGTTGCGGACTCGCATCTGGGCTTGCACCTTCCCTGGGGCGCTTATTAACGCCCTTTGCCTTATTAGGGCGTGCAGTTACGCCGTCCAGAGCTGTAGTCGTGCTCTCCGTCTGATCTCGAGCTCCCACAGTTGGATGTTGCGGCGCCTGGTCTTTGAACGGCTCGGGGATAAAACGTAAATTCTTACAAATTGTTAAGAACGAACTCTCCAAAACCGCCACGCCATCCTGGATGTCACGACTGACGTTCTTTTGGCGCTTGAATGCCTGGTACACGCTCTTAAAAATCCCGGGAATAGCCAGAAACTGATTTGCGACATTTGATTCGTAGCATGTCAGCTGGCTATCTATTTGGCTCCCTCCAAAATCCTTGGAGCCATCTGCACCGACTATCGGGGCTTGCACCCGATCAGAATCGGTGGTGGGATTACCCTCTTTCGAGGTACCCACTTGGAGTATTTCGTTTAAAATTTTGTCCATTTCATTTGTGTTTTTTTTTAATTCTTTGTCCCGTGTCGAGGGACAATCGGGCCTTAACAGGGTACTACCATCTGGCCAAGATGGGCCCTGAACCGCCTCCGTTAGTTACATAGACGTTATAGCATTGCCGGAGCATTGATGCGACGTCTATGATATCCAAGGGCACGTGAACATGTGTGTTCGGACGTGGAGGTCGATGTGTCTCTCCAAGATAGCAGGAAGTTTCCGCAAAGGGAGTGCATCCTGGTATCTCTTCACAGAGTTTACCCTCAACAATTAATTGTTTAAACAATTTAATAAATTGTTACACTTTTTTTCATGAATCAGAAACACTTAAATATAATTTTGATAGGTTCTTTGATTAATTTTCTTCATTAATGAAGCTAAAAAAAAATATTTTTTACTATTTTATGATTTTTTTTTAATACTTATTGTTATTAAAAAAATGTTTAAAAGCAAAAATTCGAAAATCGAACTCGAGAGATTGATAGAGAATTTAATTACGAAGATTTAGAAAAAAAAAGTTGTTTTGGTCAAAAATTACCTGGGGAGTGATTTTTATTTAAATTTGAAAATGATTAAAGGAACAAAAATATTACGTCACAGTTTTTCTAAGAATATCAAATTGAGACAAGAAATTTATCAAAATTGTTGCATCACAACAATATTGATTCGTTTTTTGTCTCAATTTGATATCCTTAAAAAAACTGAACTAAAATTGATTTTTTTTTAATTAGAAAATAATTAAAGGTACAAACAAAAAAACAATCGAAAATAAAAAATAATTTTGCATTTTGAAATTGGAAAATGATTAAAGGGACAGAGAAAGATGCAGCAGTTGAGTTGGAGAAATTGAAGGGCATCTTTTATATCCATTGCTATAAGTGAATAATACACTTTAAATGTATTCACGCGTGTTATGCATAAACAGGATAAATCATTTTACATCCTATTGTACTCGATGTGTACCGTTCGTAAAGGGGCACTTTATTTGCCTATGTCAACAAACGGTCTTCTTTTTATTTATTCCTTTCTTCTCCGTCTCTATCTCATTTCATATGCATTTTACACACATATATACACACAAATCCAAAGAATCATAAAAATTAATTTTTCCTTTTTTCCCCGCACTATTCACGCGACAGATTTTCCTTTTTTAAAATCAGTTTTCTTTTGCACGCGCAAATTCACGCATCTGCAATTTTATTTAGAAAGGAATTTCTCATATATAGTATTTTTCACATTATTCATTGAGCATTTATTTATTTAATACTTGTCGATCCTTACGGTTGATTATCAGATTATTTATGATACGCTGTAAAATACCTCTCTTGTCAGCTTTAAATAATTCTCTAAACAAAATTTAATGGAGACGTTGCAAATATTTTTTGAATCTTGAAGAAATTTATTTATTTTTTTAAGTTTCTAATTATTGCGATTATAATATTGAATATAAGCGTCAAGTGTAAATAGTTTTAATGAGACTTTTCCTTCATGTGAAATTGGTATTATAGAATTTAATGCTGAATTCATCTAAATCAATAAAGATAAGATTTTAATTTTTGAGGAACGTGATTATCTATTTATATGAATACGTGAAGTTATTTCTATGATAAAAATGCTAATAAAGTAATGGATTTTATCTAACACTGTTAAAATTCCAGTTAAGTCGTTAGAAAAATGCATTCAGTAGCAAATATAAATATTTTCTTGCCTATATAATATTATTATTCAAAAGAATATTTTTTTAGACAATTTTAATCATATAATTGTGATTATAAAAATGACATTGCTTGTAAATTTTGAGTTTTATTAATAATAAATGATATGGAAATAATTGTGTATAATCTGGACAATGTTATTAATTAAACATTTACAATAATAAAAAAAATAATAATAACGATAATAATAAGAAATGCAAATTTTATTATTTTCAAACATCCACTTCAATTTTTGAATAAATTTAAATATAAATTAAAAAGAACAAATTTACTCACTAATTAAGTAATTGATTAATATTATTTATTTCCAAGAAATTTTAATAAAATTCTAGGAAAGAATTCAATTATTTTTAAAAATTTATAATATATAACTTTTTTCAAGAATTGTATTATTTTTATAAATAATAATTCTTCTCGGGAATTCAATTATTTTTAATACAATTTTTATAGAATTTTTCGAAAGATTTTTCGAAAGAATTGAATTCTTTTATAATAATTTTGATTAATTGAAATTATTAATTATTAATTATTATTATAATAATTGAAATTTGAATTGAATTCATTGAAAATCAAATTTAATTTAATTGAAACAATTATAAAAATTTTGATAAAACTTTTCGGAAGAATTCAATTATATACTTACAACAGAATTTAAATAAATAGATAATAAAATCTATATTAATATCTTTTTAATTAATTTTTTTCCTTAAATGTTTTCAGTTTTAAAATTAATTTATTGAACATCATTGAATTATTGCAAAGAATTTCATCAAAAACTTTGAAAAAAAATCGAATTCCTCTAAAGGATTTTATCAACATTTTTGAAAATAATTGAATTATTTCAATTATTATTTGATTTATTAAATATTATTTGAATTATTAATTCAATAGTAATATTATTATTTGAATTATTAAAATTTTCGTAAATAACTTAATTCTTGGCAAGAATTTTATTAAAATTTTTGAAAATAATTGAATTGTTTGAAAATAATGGAGTTTTTTAAAAATATTTTCTATTAAAAATTTTGAAGTAATTTATGAGTTTTAGGAAGAATTTCTTTTAAGTTTTTAAAATAATTGTGTTTTGTAATAATTGTAATTAATAATTTTATTAAAATAATTGTTAATAGAAAATTAAATTCTTTTAATCAATTTTATTAGATTTTTCAAAAAAATAATTAATTTTTTGGAAGAATTTCTTCAAAATTTCTCCAAAATACCGCACTTTTTTTTAATAATTTCATTTGAAAATTTTAAAAACAATTAAAATTTACAAAGAACTTTATTAAAATTTTATTACTATTTTTAAAAATAATAATTGAACCTGTTCTTTAATAATTATAATTGAAAATTTTAAAGGAATTGAATTTTATGAAGAATTTTTTTTCAGTTTTTAATATAATCGTGTTTCTTAATAATTGAAATTAAACATTTGATTATTGAATTTTATTTAAACTTTTAGACAATAATTAAGTTCTATTCGGGATTTTCTTATAATTTTTTAACATAATTTATTTAATTGAAAGAATGTTATTAAAATACTGAAAATAATTTAATTCTTTCGAATTCCTTTAATTCTTTATTATAATCGATTTTGTTAATATAATTGTATTTAATAATTTTATATAAAATTTTATTTAAATTATTGATAGAAATTTAAATTCTTTTAAAAAATTTTATTATAGAATTTCTGAATTTTTGTGAATAATTTAATTCTTTTATAGAATTTCTTTAAGTTTTTTAAGAATACAGTTTTCCTAATAATTTTAATTAAAAATTTTCGAAAATAATTGAATTAAACAAAGAATTTTTTCAATTTTTTAAAATAATCTTGTCTGTTTATAATTATAATTAAAAATTTGATTAATTCAATTTTGTAAAAATTGTATTGAAAATAATTGAATTCTAATCATCATAATTGAATTCTAATTCATTTTAATTGAAAATTTTTAAAACAATTGAATTAAACACAGAACTTTTTTCAACTTTCTAAAATAATTGTGTTTGTTAATAATTATAATTAAAAATTTGATTATAGAATTTTATTAAAATTGTATTTAAAATAATTGAATTCTAATAATTTTAATTGAAATTTTTGAAAATAATTAAATTAAACAAAAGAACTTTTTTCAACTTTTAAAAATAATTGTGTTTGTTAATAATTATAATTAAAAATTTAATTATGGATTTTTATTAAAATTGTATTGAAAAATAATTGAATTCTAATAATTTCAATTGAAAATTTTGAAAATAATTGAATTAAACAAAGGAGTTTTTTCAATTTTTTAAAATAATCTTGTCTGTTCATAATTATAATTGAAAATTTGATTAATTCAATTTTGTTAAAATTGTATTAAAAATAATTGAATTCTAATCTTTTTTATTGAAAATTTTGAAAATAATTGAATTAAAGAATTTGGTTTCAACTTTTTAAAATAATTGTGTTTGTTAATAATTATAATTAAAAATTTGATTATGGAATTTTATTTAAATTGTATTGAAGATAATTGAATTCTTGAGAAGAATTTTCTTATATATTTATAAAAATAATTGGATTGTTTCGAAGAATTTAGTAAAATTTTAGAAAATAATTGAATTCTTTCGAAAAATATTATTAAAAATTTGAAAAAAAAAATTCTTGAGTCCTTTCGTGATACTTAATTAAAATTGTATTGAATATATTTGAATTTTTAAAAAAAAAAATTTACTATTTATAAAAATAATTGAATTTTTCAGAAGAATGTTATTATTTATTATTTATGAAAATACAATCCTTCCTCTATATGAGGAAGCAATAATTGAATTCTTGAGAAGAATTTTATTAAAATTCTTGAAAATAATAAACAATAATAATTAATTATTTACTTACGTGAATTTTTTAAATTTCGAATCTTGAATTATTCAAAAATGAACAAATTTTTAATTTGCATAATAATAATAAATTAAAAATCGCGTTTCGATCATTTGCTGGTAAATAAATAAAAAAAAAAAAGGAAATAAGTAATAAAAATTAATATTATTATTTATAGTAATTAATTATTTTATATTATTATTATTAATGGCGCGTGTTTATAACTAGTTTCTAATTATCCCATCTGCTATTTCCAAACGAGTTATTTCGAATTGAATGGCTTTTGATTCCAATTAAAAGGTGTAATTGTTTTCTCACTTATATAGAATGGTTATTAGATGATAAAGGTATAAAATTACTTCAATATAATTACAAGTTGATTAAACCGAGTAAAAATTGTTTTCCCCTGTGTTCCATTGTTCGAATGGTTTTGCAAACTTCATGCTCTCTTGTTACATTTCATAGTATAGTATATAATAATAATGGTGGTTTACAATTTGCTATCTATATTTGTACCACACAATTCTAAAGTTTATACGCATTCACGCATGTGTTTATAATGAAGTGGTGGCACACTACTCTTGTAAAAGATGCGATGTCGCAGCATAACGGGTGTCGCTCTTGATTTCATTCGACTATCTCTCCTAAAACATTCATTTTATATATTTAATTTGAATATCTCAAATTGAAAATCTTTATCTCAGTATAATTTTAAATTTATTGTCAAATTGGAATAATCTGATTTAATACACTTTGGACTATCGACATTCTCATCAAAAACACATTCCAGTCCTTTCTCTCTATCTTTTTCGAAAAATTTAAATTTTTTTGAAAATTTGAATTTTTTAAATGTTTTTTTTTTTTTTTTTGAAGAAATGAAAAATAGGGAATAATCAAGGAAATTGATATAGATATGAAAAAAATTTTTAAGAGTAGACCATATTTTTTGAGATCTAGATTAACGCCTTGTGGTTTTATAAATGTTTTTTTAAGTCTGGAACAAGTTGGAAACATTTCTTTTTTTTAACGATATTTTACTCTACTTTCTAAACTTAAAAATTATTCACAAGATTTAATGGTTCCAATGAACGAAATACTTTTCATTATAAAAATATTTATAAATTACTGATTGCAGTAAAAATTAAAAACCGAAAATTTACTTTTTGAAACTTAATAGAACTAATTATTTTGAGACTAAAGCAAAATTGGAAAAAAGGGTTCATTTCCTCTCTAAAAAAAAAATTATTTTTCCCTAAGAAAAGAAAATTGTCTCGAAGCTTAATTTCATCCGAATTGTTAATTTTATTTCGAAAATGTATTTTTTTGGGTAAAAATTGCACTTTTTTTGAAAAAAGGGCTCAATTCCGAAAAATTGTGTTACTAGGAAATTGTTTGTACTACATCTCTGAAACATAAAATATTTTTTCCTTGAAGAAAAAAAATGGTCTCAAAATTTAATTTCATTTAGAATTGTTAGTTTAAACAAAAAAAACTAGAATTTTTTCATAAAAATGGCACTTTTTAGAAAAAAGGGCTCATTTTCGCAAAGGTGTGTTACTATGGTAAATTGTTTGAAATTCATCTTTGAAACGTAAAATAATTTTTTCTTGAAAAAAGGAAATGGTCTCGAAATTTAATTACAGCCGAATTGTTATATTTATCTTTTTTATTTATAATTTATAAATTATAATTTTTCCATATAAGAATTCAGATTTTCAAAAATTTCAATATCAAACTTTTTTGAAATTAAACAACTTATAAAAAATTATTATAAAACATGACCGACTGATAAAATCATTATTTTTTATTATATGTAAGAATATTGTTACTGTAATTTATTCAAAATTACTTTCATCACTTCAATTCAATTATTGTTTTCTATAATTTTTAACTAAAATTCTTCTTTAAATTATTTATTTTTAATAAATTTTGAAAAATTTCTTTCCAAATTTTCAAATCCTTTTGTTTACAATTCAATTTTACGAAATTTCATCGATTATTCAGAAATTCTTCAATCAAATATATATATATTAGAAAATAAAAACTTTCAAATAACTTAAAAAAATTCAATTAAACTTTTTCAAAAAAATTAAATCTACACAATTTTTAGCTAAAATTTTGAAAAATTAAAACATTTAAAGATTATAATTTGAAACCTTTTCAAAATTCAATTATTTCTAAAAATTCATTTCTTTTTGCTTTTGAATTAGTAAATTTTACTATTTAATTAATAGAAACGACTATTTATTAGTAAAATCTGCTAATTCAAATGCAAAAAGTCAGTCACTAATTGAATTCTCATAGAATTATTTAATAAAAATTGTTTAAAAAAAATTTTTGTTAAAATTTTACATAATAATTATTGAATATTAAAAGCATTATAGCGTAAATTTTTAGAAATAATTATATTTTGAAAAAGTTTAATATTGTATTTTTTTAAAAATTATTTTAACTTTTTATTTTCTATAATGTATGTTTAATTGAAGAATTTCGGAATAATCAAAATTTCGTAAAATAGAAACAAATGGATATTTGGAAATTCTCTAGAAACTTTTGCGAAAATTATTAAAAATAATTGATAATTGTTCATTTATTTCTTTCGAAGAATTTTAATAAGATTTTTAAAATTAATTATGTTTTTCGAAGAATTTACTTTAAATTGTATTAAAAATAATTGAAATCCTGTGAAGAATTTTATTATTTGAGAAAATATTTGAAGTTTTGCAACGAATTTTTATTACTTTAAAAAAAAAGAAAAAATTAAAATCCTGTGAAGAATATTATTATTTATGAAAATAATTGAATTCCTACAACGAATTTTATTACATTTTTTTTTTAAAGAATTGAATTCTTTTGAGAATTTTTATTAAAATAATAGATTTTGAAAATAATTAAATTTTAGCGAAGAATTTCATTATTTGTGAAGTGTAAATGAATTCTTGCAAAATATATTGGAAAATTATTACATTTTTCGAGTAATTCATTTAAAATTGTATTAAAAATAATTTAAATCCTACACTGAGAGAAATGGATTGTCAGATTTTGATGTTAAAAAGATGATGTTACACGATACTATCATTATGCTACTGCCAACCATCACAGATGCTAAAAAAATATAGTTATGCTACCCCGTACTACCAAGATGTTACTCCTGATGATATTGATGGTAACGGTGACTATCTAGATAGCTGTCTGTATACGTAGCATTAAAGATGGTCACCCTAACCACAATTATGTTACCCACTACTATAAATTTCTCTCCGTGTACGACAAAATTTTATTATTTATGATAATAATAATTGAATTCTTCTAAAGAATTTTCTTACATTTTTTTAAATAATTGAATTGATGTGATAAATGGTATTATCTATATAAATAATCGAATTCTTTTGACGAATTTCAATAAAATTTTTAAGAATAATTTAATTTTTTGAGAAAAAAAAATTGTATTAAAAATAATTGAATCTCTGTGAAAAAAATTTGATTGAATTGAAAAAAGGTTTTTGGAAATAATTGAAATTTTGCCAAGAATTTTATTAACATTTTTCAGCCACTTTTGAATTAAATTGGATTTTGAAGAAAAATTTTTTTATTTATAAAGATAATTGAAATTTTGAAGAGAATTTTTTTAAACTTTTGACCATAATTGAAATTCTGCGAAGAATTTTATTACTTTTTAAAATAATTGAATTCTTGAGACGAATTTTAATAATATTTCTTTTTAAATAATTGAATTCTTTTATGAAATTTTATTGAAATAGTAGATATTGAAAATAATTGAATTTTGATAAATTATTTGAAATTAATTAAATTTCTACGAAGAATTTTATTAAAATAATTTTGAAAAAAATAGAATTGTTAAAAAGAATTTCATTGTAATTATTGAAAATAATTTAATTCTTTCTAGAAATTTAATTAAAAATATATTGGCAATAATACTTAAATTCTAATAAATAAATTATAGGAAGGCTTTTTAAAATAATTGAATTTCTTTAATGAATTTTAATAAATTTTTTATGAATAATTACATTTTTCGAGAAATTCCATTAAAATTCCATTAAAAATAATTGAAATTATGCGATGAGTTTTATTATTTATGAAAATTCCAAAGTAAAATTTACTGATTCCAAAGTTAAATTTTTATAAAAATTAATAAAATACTTTGTCGTATCAAAATTTACAAATTGAAAAGTAAATTATATTATTTTTGAAGTAAAATTTAGTAAACATAATTAAATAATTGAATTATTGAGAAGAATTTTTTTACAGTTTCTAGAAATAATTGAATTTTTTTTGACGAATTTTAATAAAATTTTTAAGAATGAAAATAATTGAATCTCTGTAAAAAAATTTGATTATTTATGAAAATAATTGAATTATTGCGAAGAAATTTATTAAGAATTTGTAAATAATAGAATTCCTGTGAAATTTTTATTATTTAATTAATTCATTCAAAATTAAAATTTTACAAAATTTCAAATTTAAACCTTTTGAAGTTCATCTATTTATGAAAATTGTAAACGGACTTTTTTAAAATTGAATTAATTTTGAAATATTTAAGAAGAATTAGATTAATATTCAAGACTAAGTTAATTTGAACAAAAATAGGACTTTTTTTGGCAAAAATGGCACTTTTTTTAAATCATGTTTCATTTGTGAAAAGGTTGAAAAAAAATTTACCTTTTTTTAGAAAATTTATTTTAAAAATTGTCTTAATTTTGTAAATTTTGAAATTTGTTGCTTTCTTCTTGTGATAAATGAGGACCCTCACCTGTAAAATGCAACAAGTGAATCGCTCATTTCACAATCGACTATAACAGCTGACCTGGTAAACTGAAACAACGCCAATATCTCGAAAATTTATAACATTTATTCTTAGACACTAAAATTGTCAAATGTTTTACAGTTTTCTCTCAAAAAAAAACTATTCTTAAAAAATAGAATTCTCTTTTAATTATTATTTTTATGAATCAAAGATTATATTTTCTGCACGAAATTTGAGGGCAAACGCTACCCGACTTACAGCAGTGCATTAAAGAAGCCTCTTGAAAGGCGTCTTTATCGTTAATCTCCCTTAAATATACACATATGGAAAAATAAATACACAAAAATAATTCACAATTACGAAGTTGAAAAAAAGGTGTTTATAAATAGTGGAAAATTTAATTCATCTTTATTTTCTTTATTTTTATATAATGTAAAATACTTAAGAAAATTCGGTTTCAAATAAGCAAAAATATTTTTTTTTCTTTTTTTAATTTTCTTTTTCTTCTTTTTTGAATTTTTTAGTGAAAAAACGTAGGGTTAACATTTATTTTATCCAGCGGGTTTGCTAATAAATTCGCTTACAGATAAGATTTCAAAGAAGTTTTCTATTCTGATTGTGGTTGATAAAACAGTCTTTAGTATTTTAACTGCACCGGTAAATAGAAACAAAAGTCTGTTGATTTCGAAAGAAAAATTTAAAAGTAAAAAGACTGACATAAAAAAGTAAAAATGACAATAAATTAAATAATACTTTCTTTTTTTAAGCATAAACAGAAATTTTTAATCTATGCGTAAACATACTCTTAAACGGAAAATAGAATCTCTTTTGTCATTTAGCAGTTAGTGCATATAAATATTAATTCTCGATTATTAATAAATACAGCAAACTAAATATTTCCTGAATAAATTATCCTCTTCTGATCTTTAAAAGAATCTTAAAAGATTTAAATATTTGAACTTTCAAGACTTAAACTTTTGAGATTTATAATTTTAAGACTTAAACATTCAAGATTTAAATATTAAGATTTAAACATTAAGATTTAAATTTTAAGATTCAAACATTAAGATTTAAATTTTAAGATTTGAACACAAAGACAGTCCACCTTTAAAGGAATGGTACTTTATTTACATTTGACGAAAGTAAGATTTAGACAAAAAATTTTTTGCAAAAAACTATACGCATTTAATGGTAAAGTTTATAATAATAATAATAATAATATTATCGTTAAACAATAGAGTTGAGTTAGAAATATATAACTTACAAAAGTGCCAAATTGACTAATAAAAGAATAACTTAAGAAGTGACAATAAAAAAAGCGTTGAATTTACGAAAATAATTTTTTTTCTCCACACATCTCTAATTTAAAATTTACGCCTTCTTCTTATTTTTTCTCGTGCTCTTAGAGGGCGATTTAGCAGGGCTGTTTGAAGCAGTTCGTTTCGATGATTTTTTACCAGCCTTCGCTGAATATTTTTCAATGAGGGAATCAAAAAAATTTTCAGACTGTTCGCCGCGATTTTTATTACGACTTTGAATTGCAAGCACCAAACTGTCCATTCCATCTTTCGATGCTTTTTTCTCTTCCTCCAATCGTTCAGCCTCTTCAGCTTCCTTGGCCCACTGAAAAGAGAAAGAAAATTGTTAAAAAAAAAAAGATTAGAAATTATTAAAGAAAAAATTTTTTATTTTACAATAATTTTTAAGTTTTGTAACTTAAAAACTATTGAAATAAAAATTAAAAATTTTGAAGAAAAATTAGAAACAATATTTAAGAATTATTAAAATAAAATTTAAGACTTAACGAAAAGTTAGAAACAATTTTTAAGAAGTATTAAAGAAAAATTGAAAATTTAGGAAAATTTTTACAAATTATTAAAAAAAAAATTAAAAAAGAAAGAATTAATTTAAATGAATTTTTTTAAAGAATATTATTAGAAAAAAATTAAAAATTTAGAAAAAATTAAATTATTAAGGAAAAATTAAAAAATATGAAACTAAATTTAAAAATGATTGAAGAAAAACTAAAAATTTAGAAACAAAAAAAAATCCATTAGAATGCTTTTTGAAAACCAAATAATCAATACATTAAAGTCATTGAAACATATTTATAAACTAACGATGATGCATATTTTTTTTCAACTTTTTACGTCAGAGAGAAACTCGAATTTTTTGAGTGACAATTTTTGATAGACGTTAATAAAAAATTTAATAAAATATTTTCAACAAACTGACACAATTTTAGTATAAAATGCAACTTATTTCGATTTTTATTGTATAAACAATAATAGACAAATCTTCCAAAAATTTTTTTTGAATATTTTTCTAATTAAATTTTTGAAAAATACAATTGAACACATTTTGAATAATTGACATTTTTGTATTGAAAATATTTGATTCTTTTCAAGTATTTTCTGACAATTTTTAAAAATCAAATTTTCAAGAATTTTTATTGCAAATTTTGAAAATAATTGAATTCTCAAAAATTTTAATACAAAATCTTCAGGTGTAAATTTAAAAATAAAAAATTATTTTCTATAAAAATTATATTAAAATATTTTTGAAAAAAGTAATTATTTGAATTTTTTTATTTGAATTTTTTAAAATTCAATTATTGTCAATATTTACAATATTACATATTTCCGAAAATTCAAATAGGCTCAAAAAAATAATGCGAACATTAAAATTTTTTAGAATTATTGTAAACATTTTTGAAAATACAATCATGTTCAAAATTTTTAATTAAAATTCTTCAAAAAATTAATTAGTTTTTTTTAAATTATAATATACAAAAATTCTTTTTTAAATTAAATTATTTTCAAAAAATATCATTACAATATTTTAAATAACTAAATCTTAAATTATTTATCATAATTTTTTAAGATTGATTTATCTTCGACCAAAGTAAATTAAAATTTTTTAAAAATTTACTTTGTAGACTCATTAAAATTTCGGAGAAATAATGTTCATATATAATTAAAATTCTATGAAAATTTGATTATTTTTATATTTGTATTATTCAAAAATTTCAATTATTTTTAAAAGATTTTACCAAATTTCAATTGCTTGGAAATTTTGCAATAAGTGAAAAATTTCCAAACAATTATTGTCTGTAATTAAAAAACTATTCTTTTTAAAAAATTATTTAAAAATATTTTAAAAAATTTAATTTTAAGAATTTCTTTATTATAATTTTTTTTAAAATATTACACCTTAATAACTTTAAAAAAACATGATCAGTTACAATTATAAAAAAATGAAGTTTTGTATTTAAATAAATGAATTTTCGAAGAACTTTCCGAAAATTATTAAAAATAATTGATTTTGAGATAAAGTTTAGTTAAAAAATTGTAGAAAATAATTGAATTCTGGAATTAGATAGAATAATATGTTAATAAAATAATTTAAAAAAAAGTATAAGTAGGAAAGTAATAGGAAATAGTACAAATATAAAAAAAAATATATATATTAAATACATTATAATAATCGTAAGTTTCCTTTCCGTTAGCAAATTATCTGCATTCATTTGTTTGTTTTGAAAATTTAATTTTGTGGGTTAAGTATTGGCATTTTTTATATATTTTTTAATGTCAAACTTTTTAATGTGGAAAATACTTTACTTATTAAATTGTCTCAACTCTTTGGTAAAAAATCTAAAATTATCGAAAATTATCAAAAATTCAAAAATCCGAATTTCTTAAAATTTAACATTCTTTCCTCTCTTTTATGGAATTTAGCTTCATTATTTTTGTGCTTTTGGAAAATACTTTACTTATTAAATTGTCTCGACTCTTTAGTAAAAAATCTAAAATTATCAAAAATTCGAAAAAATTCAAAAATCCGAATTTCTTAAAATTCAACATTTTTTCCTCTCTTTTATGGGATTTAGCTTCATTATTTTTGTGCTTTTGGAAAATACTTTACTTATTAAATTGTCTCGAATCTTTGGTAAAAAATCTAAAATTATCAAAAATTCGAAAAATTTCAAAAATCCGTTTTTCTTAAAATTCAACATTTTTTCCTCTCCTCAATGGAATTTAGCTTCATTATTTTTGTGCTTTTGGAAAATACTTTACTTATTTAATAGTTCGACTCTTTAGTAAAAAATCTAAAATTATCAAAAATTCGAAAAAATTCAAAAATCCGATTTTCTTAAAATTCAACATTTTTTCTTTTCTTTTATGGGATTTAGCTTCATTATTTTTGTGCTTTTGGAAAATACTTTACTTATTAAATTGTCTCGACTCTTTGGTAAAAAATGTAAAATTATCGAAAATTATCAAAAATTCAAAAATCCGAATTCCTTAAAATTCAACATTTTTTCCTCTCTTTTATAGGATTTAGCTTCATTATTTTTGTGCTTTTGGAAAATACTTTACTTATTAAATTGTCTTGACTCTTTGGAAAAAAATAAAAAATTATTAAAAATTATCAAAAATCCGAAAAATTGAATTTCTTAAAATTCAACATTTTTTCCTCTCTTTTATAGGATTTAGCTTCATTATTTTTGTGCTTTTTGAATATACTTTACTTATTAAATTGTCTCGACTCTTTGGTAAAAAATGTAAAATTATCGAAAATTATCAAAAATCCGAATTTCTTAAAATTCAACATTTTTTCCTCTCTTTTATAGGATTTAGCTTCATTATTTTTGTGCTTTTGGAAAATACTTTACTTATTAAATTGTCTCGACTCTTTGGTAAAAAATCTAAAATTATCAAAAATTCGGAAAAATTCAAAAATCCGATTTTCTTAAAATTCAACATTTTTTCTTCTCTTTTATGGGATTTAGCTTCATTATTTTTGTGCTTTTGGAAAATACTTTACTTATTAAATTGTCTCGACTCTTTGGTAAAAAATCTAAAATTATCAAAAATTCGGAAAAATTCAAAAATCCGATTTTCTTAAAATTCAACATTTTTTCTTCTCTTTTATGGCATTTAGCTTCATTATTTTTGTGCTTTTGGAAAATACTTTACTTATTAAATTGTCTCGACTCTTTGGTAAAAAATCTAAAATTATCAAAAATTCGGAAAAATTCAAAAATCCGATTTTCTTAAAATTCAACATTTTTTCTTCTCTTTTATGGGATTTAGCTTCATTATTTTTGTGCTTTTGGAAAATACTTTACTTATTAAATTGTCTCGACTCTTTGGTAAAAAATCTAAAATTATCAAAAATTCGGAAAAATTCAAAAATCCGATTTTCTTAAAATTCAACATTTTTTCTTCTCTTTTATGGCATTTAGCTTCATTATTTTTGTGCTTTTGGAAAATACTTTACTTATTAAATTGTCTCGACTCTTTGGAAAAAAATAAAAAATGATTAAAAATTATCAAAAATCCGAATAATTGAATTTCTTAAAATTCAACATTTTTTTTCTCTTTTATACCATTTAGCTTTATTATTATTTGAATTTTTATTCAAGAGAAAAAATGGAAAACTGAAAAAATTTAGAATTTTTTAAAAATTACAGGCCTTTTCCATGATTTCCCTGATTTCCAGAAGCCTTTTAAAAATTCCATACCATTTCCATGATTTCCATGATTTCGTGATTCTGTAGGAACCCTGCTTTTGTCTGACTTTCTTCTAAATTATCGAATTCAGTGATTTCTGGGGTGAATTTGGTTAAGTTATAAAATGAATTATTTCTATTTGAATTCGTTTTTTTTTAATGTAGAAAATCTGATGTTAATTTAATTCTTTTTTCGTTATGCACGGCAAAAAATATTTAGCTGGATGAACTACAGATTTCACTTTAGTAGCGAAATTATTTAGTGCTTCAATTAATACTTTCGTTATTCTAGAGAAACTTATCGCTATTTCAAGTAAAACTTTTTTCAGTGTGTAATAATTATTATTTCTTTAAAAAGTATTTATTTTTAAATGGCTTTATAAAATAAGCAATGCAAAAGATGACCCAGATACTAATTGTAATTGTTCTAGCCATAGTTTAAGTCTAGTAATGTAAATTCTATTTAAATTGAGACCATTGAGTGAAATTATTTTAATTTTAGTTAGTTAAATCTCTTTGTTAGGTTATAATAATTATTTCTTTAAAATTTTTTAAATTGTTTAAAATAAGCAGCCCCATACAACATTCCCGCGCGCTTGCGCGCGGATAGTTTGGCTAGTACATTGTAATAATCGTAAGTTTCCTTTCCGTTAGCAAATTATCTGCATTCATTTATTCACTTCACAAAATTGAAAAAAATTCCATTCCATATTTTTTATTTTCCTGACTTTTTCCTAATTTTCATCAAAAATATTTACTTTTTTCTCATCCTTTCAATAAATTGAATTCCTGCAACGAATTTTATTATTCATCAAAGAATTTTAATATTTATAAAAATTGAATTGAATTCTTACGAAAATTTTTACAAACCATTTTTTAAATAATTGAATTCTGTTTGGAAATTTTTTGATAATAGTAGATATTGAAAATCATTGAATTGCGAAAAGTTTTTAATGATAATTAAATTTTACAAAGAATTCTATTAAAAAATTTGTCAATAATTGAATGTTTGGAAATTTTATTAAACTTTTTTGAAAATAATTGAATTCTTGTGAACGATTTATTAGAATTTTTTTAAAATAATGTAATTCCAAGAAGAAAATAATTA